ACGGCCAACGGGATGTCGTCGGAGAACAGGGCGGTTACGGCGGCTGCGTTGAGTTGGGCGCAAGCGCGGCGGCTCACCGTGAGGAACAGAGTTTGCGGGGTCTCCTCTAGAATCATGCCAATGTCCTCATCGGACGGCTCCTCCGCCATGACGTAGCCGGCTCGGTGCAGGGACGGTGCTTTGTGTCCTGCTTTGATTTGCATCAATTGTCGGACCGTGGGCTTGCCGATGCGCAGAAGCTCCAACTTCTCTCGCAGCTTGGGGCACTTGCACCGCAGCATCGTATGCAGCTCCCGCTTTTTGACGAGCACACTGTGCCACAGGGGTGAGTCCAGGGCATTGAAGGGGTCGACGCCCGGCAACTGGTAGAAGTCGCCAACGAAGATGAGTGTCGGAATGCGGTCGGCCGCCTGCCACTGCTCCATAATGCGCTCGAAAATGGTGCGGGAGGCTGTCCGACTTCCTCGACGACAATCAAGTCATATGGCCAAAGCACTTCCATCGCCTCCTGGGTGGGCTTGTGCACGAGAAAGGCTCCGTGCACGGTGTCGACCTCCAGATCTGGAAATCTCTCTCGCAGGGTCGCCGCCAGGCGGCCGGTGGGTGCAGTCAGGAGAACGCGACCGTTCGCCGCGACTTGCCGAATGACTTGGTGCGCTGTGGTTGTCTTGCCGCTGCCAGCCGGACCCAGAATGGTGTAGGCGGAGCGGCCATCGACTGCAGGAGCGAAGGGAGAGGTCCGGGCTGTCCAGGGAGGGAGTTCCTCGGCTGCATCGGCAGGGTCGGGCGTCATCGGGGCCTTCACCCTTCCAGGCGTTCTCTCCTTGCTGGCGCAGCTGCGTGCCTTGGTGGTATGCATCGAGAAGCTCCGCCGCGAGGCGTTGCTGGTGGCCGGACAGTTCCACCGCCGTGCCAGGGCCAGCACCGTCGGCGGGACCCGCGACGACGTCGTCGTTCTTGTCGAGCTCGCCAGAAAGGTACTTCCGAATGAGCCCCTGGTTGGCGAAGAGCATGGCCAGAATGTTTCGGATGTGGTGCTCTCGGAAAGCTTCGAGCTCAAGCTCGGCCCGGGTGGCCGCCTCGCTTGTCCAGTGATCTGGGCGCAACAGCAGGGCCAGGGCTTGATAGTAAAGGTGCGGCGGCACGCGGTCCAGCTCCTCACGCCGCAGATCGTCCATGGAGCGGAAAGGAACATTCATCAGAACCCACTGCCCGTAGTAGCGGTCGTTGTAGCGAGAGAGGTAGATGGCTGCGACCGCGACATCGCCCTGCAGCGGAGCGTTATTGACCCAGTCCTCCAGTGTTTCTTCCATGACGTCCTCGTCATTCCTGAAGAGCTGCTGATGACGGCGAACGAAGCTGCGGTGCACGCCGCCGCGCAGGTTGGTTTTTCGGAGGAAGTCTGCGAGGGTCATATCTTCTGCCCGCCAGCGATTGTTCATGTACTGCACGACCCGATCGGGGCAGGCGCCCTCCCAGGGCACCGGCACGCGGAAGCGCTGAAGTGTGCTTCCGGCAAAGCACTGCGGAAACCACTGNNGGGTGGTAGTCGGTAAGCACGCGACGAGCGACGGCGTAGTCGCTGCAGGCATCCGCCAACCACTCTGTCGTGAAGCTGTGTCGCTGAACTTAAGTTGGGGACGTAGCCCGAAACATAGCGCAGAAGAAGGCCTCGCCCATCGGACATTTGGACGTCGACATGGCAGTGGAGGCTGGAGAGCACATCCTTGATGTACGCTCGGAGACCTTCAGGCGTGCCATCCCGATTGTAGCTGCAAAAGTCCTCCTCCGTGGTGAAGTCGTAATACTTGGGCTTCCGCATCGTAGTGGGACGGGCCACTGCGCAGGGGCCAGCCACTGCCTGTCCAGGAGCGCTGCGATCCTTCCACACGTGCAGCCAGAGGAACATTGTCGACGGGTACAGTGGCCGAGATGCTGTCCTCCAGCTTGACGGTTTCCACATGTTGCAGCCAGACGAGCAGATGCAGATGGACAGTCCCGCGGCCGTGGTAGAACTGCGCGGCGACCTCCTGCTGATTGATGTAGCGCCGTCGTTTGCCGTCTTGATACTCGAGGCGGCCGAAGAAATTGAGGACCGTCTTGCGTCCGGAACCGTCCTTGGCGGCAAAAATGTGGCTCTTCCACGGAGCTCGAGCTTTGCGCGTGGTGTCCCTGTTGTTGTTGGCGCCAGTCAAGAAGCCGAGGACAGTCTGCGCGAGAATGTGGGCGATGTGTAGCGTCTCTGCTATGGGCAGGCGAAGCCGGGCACGTAGCATCTTGCGCATCTCGTCTTCCACCCAGCCATGGAAAGGAAAACTCCACTCATACGGTGCGATCGTCAGGAAAAGTGTGGGCAGACCGAGCTGCTTGACAACATCAACGAGAGCTGCGTGACGTGTTTGCCAATATTATTCCGGCGAAAAGCTGTACCCGGCCATGGCGAGACGGAGCGGCGCAGCGACGGCATTCTTCTTGGCCCCGAGCGTACTCCACAACCAAAGATCGTAGACAAACTGAAACAGCTCAAAGTCGGCACCATAGCCCAACGTCGGACCCAGCACCTTGGCCAAATAAGCACTCTTGGCCGAGTTGCGGCCGGCACGCGCGAAGTCCAGGGGCGCGTCTGCTTCGAGCTCATCGAGTGGGTCGTCCCCGTCTTCGAGCAGGTCCGCTGGGTGCATGCAGTCGGACGCATCGGAGTCGGAGTTCTCCGGAGCAAGTCCCAGCAGGGGCGTGTGCTGAGCTGTGGCGCGTCCTTGACGTCGCTCGTCCGCTTTGCGGACGTGAGTCTCGCACATGACGGTCCGAGGGTAAAGATGCGGCCAGACCGCACACTCGAGGCCTTCCTCTTCCAAGACGCGCCGCGGGAGCTGCAACAAGCGGTCGTCGGCAGCGCCTGTGCGACGGGCACGCGTGCGGTGCAAGAACTTCGCGCGCATGGCGACGAAGTGTCCGTAGGCACTCTCGGTAGACTCCATGAGGTAGTGGTATGCGGCACTGGCCTTGTCGCGGTCGGCTTCCAAGGCCAAGGAAGCTATTTGGTCCAGGACCGGCTGCGGGCGCCACCAGAAGCGGATCATGTCTGTGTGGACTCTGTAGCCGTGCCTGGCCCAGACTGGTTTTCCCACGTCGGGTGCCAAGGGCCGCAGCGCCCAAAGTGCCTCCAGGGACAGCCCCTGCAGCTCCCGCGGGATGCAGTCCGTTGCGACAGTTGGGTAGCCGATGCCAGCGCGGCAGTGGTTGCACTTGCGGACAGTATTCTTGCTCGGTCCTGGTCCGCTGATAGAGTTCTCATAATGGCCGCCTGTCCAGGCGCAGGCACGTCTCACAAAGCACCCAGGAAGACTTCTGGCACCAGCGCTCGAAGCGCATCGCTGCCGTCGAACGCCAATCCTCTTCTCCGGCATCGCGAGCTTGCGTCCAGGCGCCGAACTTGGAGCGGAGGCGGCGGTCGTCGTCCGCCGTCTTGGCGTGGAAGACACGCTCGGCATCCTCCGGCTGGGGTAGGTCGAGGGTGACGCGGTTGGTGAGCAGGGTACTCCAAGCTTGCGCCTCCGCGGCCTTGGCTTGGCGCTCGGCCACGGCGGCTTTAGCTCGCGACGGCCGCTGGAGCGCTCGGCGGAAGGTGTCATGGGAATCTTCAGGAAGACGTCGCCACGCCAGATCCAAGACGGCCTCCTGCCCTGCATCCGTCCAGACGCGCAGTGCGCGAGTGAGATGCTGACGTCGCTTGGGCGCCTCCAGCACGGCCCGTAAACCGAGCAGCATCGCACCAGACGCACAGCTTCTCACCGATTCTCACCCCTGGAGAGCCGGGAAGCCTGCGCGAAGTGGTTCGGCGTCAAGGTAAAGACGCAGGGCTGCGCTCCCACGCCAGGACACCGCTCTGACGGCCGAGAGCGCCAAGGGTCAGCCGCCGGGCGCTTGCGAGCCGGTGCTGCTGGCGGCACGCCCACGTCCTCCACGCCGTCAGAAAGTATCTGCGGACGACCCAGGTTCTCTTCGCATTCGTTCTCCTCGGCAGCAGCCTCGGCGATGATATCTAGCTTGTACTGCAGAATCCGCAGCAGCCCCGGAAGATGGAGCAGCCGACGCCATGGTCACAGCGGCCACAGCGGACAAGGTACTACAGTAAGCTTGAGAGAAAAGTCTTTGCGGGGTGGCTGTCATGTCAGACCTAGTAGACGCTCGTGCTTGCAGCTAGCCTTGAATCTGGGACTAGAAGCAGCTGCACTCTTTTGTCGATCGAGAAGCATTACGGCCAGTTGGATCGCCGTGCACGATGCTGACAGAAGCAGAGCCGAGGCGCAGTACATTGCGTGTGGCGGACGCTGCAAAGATACAAGCACGGCTGCACAGTACATTATGCTTGGCAGGCTTGTGGAGAAACTCACATCGAGTTGCTGGGCTAGCCGCCTTTGCGCAACAGAGCTATGTCACCGCAGCCGGCTGTGGAGGCCGTCAGGTCGCATGCCGTCATGACGCCGTCTTCGGCTAGCAGGCGGACGTCCCAATTGCCCATCTCCTCGAGGGAGGACTGCTGCGTAAAGAACTCTTCGAGGGCTTTCTGGACGGATCTCTCCGGGAAGCGGTCGATCTCATCGAAAAGCTCGTCTTCACGAACGACCGCTTTGCCATCGGAGGCGGTCGCCGTGACTCGCCGGACCTTGATCGTCCCATTCTTCAAGGGAGAACTAACCCGAGGCTTCTTGTCTTCCTTGTCCTTCTGGGCATGCTTGGCATCTTTCTTGGCCTTCTTCTTCGCCGCTTTTTTCTTGGCCTTCTTGGACTTCTTGGCCTTCTTGGACGTACTGCTGCTCGTGCTGCCAACGTTGGAACTGCTGGGGGATGCTTCCGCAGCAGCTTCCTGCGCCGGCTGGGCCTGCTTCGCGAAAAGCGACGCTGCATCATTCTTTCCGGGCCCAGCAGCCTCTTCTATTTTTTCCAAGAGAAGTAGGGCTAAGGCCTGCTGCATCTTCCCTTGGTTCTCCGGCGCTCGCTTCCATGCCGCGAACTTCTT